AATAATAACTATTAAAACTGGTTTTGCAAGAATCTAAATTTGAGCTTTCGAGGGCAGACTAAATATGAACTATTCCGAAAAGGGTTGTTATGACCGCCAAAAATATATCAAATATATGTTGACATGTAAAAGTATTAACTGAAATCGTAAAAGAAAATGTACAGATCTTCCTCAAAACAGATCAATTTTCATATACATATAACAAATTTATTTTATTCTGCTTATGCAGATATAACTTTTATTACATACATACACATACTAAATACTAATCTATATCCAAGAAGATCGTATATATACCATGTACATATATGCATCACATTAATAGATCAAACACAGGGCATACAAAAATTGAATATTTATTTGTTGCTTTGCCGAAGATCTTGTCGTTTATGTGGAAATACGTAAACACATGCCTACTCATACATATGTACGTAAGTATGTATAGACATATATATGCATACATATGTATGAATTTTGTACATTTGTTGTTTCTATTTAAATCGGTTGTTAGGCTTAATTTACGCAGCTGACATAACCCCAAAACTTGATCACTTCTATTTTTTGGTATACATACATATAAATGTATATGTATGTATATTGACTGAATGAATGTTTGCATGTATGTATATGTATATGTATATGCATGTGTAAGTACATTCACAATTGATGAGCTTTTTTAGACCAAGTTATTATTGTGACCCTCAATAAAAACAAATGCTATGCTAATTTTGGGCCGCGGCGATGTCAGCGTCAGCATCGGCATCGGCATCGGCGTCGGCGTCGGCGTCGCAGTCAGCGTCAGCTGCTGGCACCGCTGGGGCGTAACGGTGGCGCAGAAACGATGACGTCGTCAGCTTTGCTGACCGCATCAAGAGTAGCCAAGAAAAGTAATGTGCTTTACGCAGAGTATGATAAAAAAGAAGAAGAAGAAGAAGAAGAACAACAACAACAACAGCAACATTGAGAGCAGCGAAAGAAACAGCAATAACTTGAAGCAAACAATACCAATTGAGCGTCGGCAGCGACGCTGACAGCGCTGATCTTTAGAGTGCTGCCAAGCTGATGTCGTCAGTCAGCACTGCTACAGCCCCACCTTAGTGGACGTTTACATAGCACGCAGACAGAAACACACACACACACACTCACGCAACGAACAATAAGCGCGAATTAAGATTGTATGCATGTGAACTACAACTGTAGATGTCTGTGTGTGCGTGTGTCTGTGTGTGTGTGTTGATGTTGGCTTGTATTATTTTCGTGTTTGACAGCGGCTGCTACTTTTTTTTTCTAGCAAAACCAGTTTTGAGCCAGCAACAACAACAACAGGAAAATGTCTACCCAAGCTTGTTGTTTGTGCTGCATCAGTGAGATAGAGGGAGACAGAGCGCTACTGTTGCGGAATGTCTATGGTTTTCTAATTAAAAATTGTATTAAACAGTGTTGCAAAAYATTGTCAACTTACCTGAGAGCCAAGTTCTGAGTATGATGAGCAGCAATAATAATAACAACAACA